AGTGCAAAGCGCGGTGAACCCCCCCCCCCCTTTTTTTCGGCTGTCCAGTCGATCCGTGCATCCCCGCTCACGGCCATCTGGAGCATTGCTCCCTCGAAAGAGCAGGGAAAGCCAGCTTTCGCCCGTTCGCTAGTGCCTCGCTCATGCGCGCATTGTCCGGCGGAGCGTGAGATCGTGCCGAGGCGAAAACAGGCGAACAGATCGCTTTCCCGCTCCGCCACTTCATTGTCTGACGCCACGCATTGTGGAGCGAACGAAGATTCCCACAGAAAGTCAATGGGTAGAGTGCGTCGTGGATTGGCCTCCTTTGTGCGCTATAAAGATCGAGCGGTCCAGCAAGAAAAATCGGTCGGACATCGGTCGGACTTGCAAATCCCACTCACTTGGCGAGCGCTAAATGTTTCACCTTTGCACCAAACTTTTCCAATCTTTTCATGTTGAAACTTCGAACGCTTATAATCGAGATTGAACATTTGCATCTCCCGATTAAAGGTGCAGGTATGCTTTCGTCACCGCACGCCCGCGTTCCTAAACTTGGTCCGTCTGCTGCCTTGCCGTTCTCCGCACAGCCTCGACCGGCAGACTCATGTGATGAACAGCATGGGTTGTAACGACGCGGTCCGTCCGGCACTGCATGGTTGCTCCGGCTTCTGTGTCCGGCACGCCTCGACTCTAAATTTGAGCTCGCTCGCCGACCATAGTCTTGTACATCGCACGAGTCTGCAATCAGCACCACGCGGAGGTGTGACACTGACCCGCATGGTGTGACGCTGCAAGATCGAGATGGATGCAAGATGAGAGTGAGACTGCAGAGAGGGTGTTCTCGCCTTCTAGCGCGCTGCACTAGCCTGCGTCACCGTCGCGTGGCAGCAACGAGGCCTTGGCAATACAAACTTGTTTCGCACTATGTTTGCCTGGCGGGCTGCACGCGGGAGAGCGATGTCCTACGACGCAGATGCCGCTGCACCCTGGGGTTGCAAACTTGCGCCGATGCCGACCCAAAACTTCGGTGGCCGGCAGACATGTTTCAGGCAAAAGTTTTTGCCGGTGAAAGAAATGCAAAGGAGAGACACAAGATCCGGCAAACAGAATGGTCTTTGCACTTTTCGCGCAAAGGCGACACCTTTTTGTTTGTGGGCGAGTCAGGAAGGACGATTCTGGGTGAGCATCCGCAGCAAGGACCTCATCCAGCCGAATATGCAGCCGAGTCAATATGCCGCATGGCCATCTCGACTCGGCTGCTGCCGATCTCCTTGGAACGCGTCTGTCGCAGGCAGTCGATGCCCGCACCTCCTTGCGCAGAAGAGGAAAGGGCAACTGCCGCTCCGTACAGCGTTCATGCACGGGGCACGGCTTTTTTGCTCGAACCGCTTGACTCTCGGTCCCGCTCAACCGCACTGACTCGCATGTCTCCTTTCGGCTCGACGGCAATGCCCCTTGCTCCGAACTGGTCGGTCAGAGCAGCTCCGTAGGGTGAGGCGAGTATCACAAGACATCTTTTACCGCTCCGGACCATTGTGAGTCGTCAGGGAAGCAAGCCGTCGGATGCTGCAACCTTTCGTGTGAGAGGAACTCGTCAGCCGCTGCTCCGGAGCCAGTGTGCTGGCTCTGGCCTCAAGTCTCGCTCCGTGGATTACGATACATGCTCGCTCCGACCTTGTCTGCAGGCGGCCTTTCCAGCATTGCCCCGTCCTCCGCTTGGCCCGTCAGAGTGCGGCATTTCCGCACGCACGCTGTCTTACTCTCGGCCTCATGTCACCCAGTGGGATCTAGACCTCCTTGCGGGGATCTTTCGGCGGGACAAATGATCAGAGGTGCGGCGACTAAGCAACGACAGCTGCAAGTGGCCGGCCGTTGGAGGGTGTGGACATTGTCCAATATGCGTCAGGACAAAGACTTGGCCGCGTGCCAGAGCGACTGCACTGCTTCTTCCTTTTTTTAAAAATGATTGATCAATTCGTGTCTCAACTGAAAATTGAGTTTACCTCAAGTCGGGTGTTGCTCAGTCACTTTGTCACCGCACTAAGCTGCACTGCACCCTTCGTGCATGCTTGGCTGCGTTGCACAACCGGGGTCCGCCTTCGTCCGTCGCGCTGGCGTGCATGTGGGCGTTTGTCGGCAGCTGCGTCCCTTTGGTCAAGCAGTGTGAACGTTGATCTGAATTCCCTGATTTGCTCTCGGCCTCGTCAACTTTCGCCGCCTTTTCCAGCCGACACCGATGCAATCCAGCCGCCTCGCTGGCCACGAGTCTCCCTAAGCACTGCCAATCGAGGTGGTTTCGAGCCGCGAGGCATGGCGCAGGATGCAAGTCATTGCGACCTCCTTTGTGCCTTGCTCCCTTACGTGTGTGTAAGGCCGTGGCGAGCCCTTCTGCTGCTGCTGCTGCTGCTGCTGC